TCATGCATGACATACTTGGCGGATCAAACCCCTCAGCAAGAGCTGTTAGTGGGATTGTCTCCAACCCAGCAGTCAGTGGTCAAGTCCCCTTTGCCAAGCCTAATGGTGCAAACCTCCCAGTTAACAATGGTGTTTCTGTCAACAGCAATAATAATGGAATCATTAACAACAACAACGTTCCCTTTCTCACTAGCCTTGGTGGTACTAATGCAGCCAATGTCGTTCAAAACAACGGAAACAACCCAATAAATAATGGCTTCGGGGGGGTTGCAGTCCTGAATGGAGGTCAACTCCCTGCAGGAAGCATTATTCAAAAGTTTATGTTTGGGACATTGACAGTTATAGACGATGAGCTAACTGAAGGGCATGAGCTTGGTTCAGGTTTGATTGGCAAGGCAGAGGGGTTTTATGTGGCTAGTTCCATTGATGGGAACAGCCAGACCATGGCTTTCACAGCCATGTTTGAGAGAGGTGGCTATGCGGATAGCATCAGTTTTTTTGGCGTGCATAGGACTGCTGTTTCAGAGTCTCATCTCGCAATCATGGGTGGCACTGGTAAGTACTTGAATGCTAAGGGCTACGCCATTGTCAAGACATTTCCAACTACAAACCAGAATGAAACCGATGGCTTTGAGACTCTACTGCAGTTTACAGTTTATCTTGCTTACTAGTGTCTTTTGGATTGAAGGTGTATCTTCCAAGTTTGCTAAAGTATATGTACAAGTTTTACGAATACTAAAGGATCTTTGTGATTGAAATAAATGAATCTTTCTTAAATAAAAGTTTCTATCTAAGGAAAAATGTGTTTGGCATAAACAATACTGCTCCGTATCCAGAAGTTTTATGCTGGCTTTTATTTCCTTGGCATAATTTGGTACTACAGCATTCCACAGGCCTGAGACTTACACAAGTTTTTCTTGTTCCTTCTCAACTCGCATTTCTCTTCATGAACTGAATGATCAATGACCAACAGCCAGTCGGTTTTATGCTAAAATCTTGTATATTGACCATGCACTTATTTTAATAGAAATTGTCAGAAAGACAACCTGAAATGGAAGGACTCTAAATTCTATGACAGGTATGCAGTTTCCGAGGAAATCTGAGAATTGAGATTCTCCTAAATTAAGCTCTACAAAATCGAAGGCTTAATTTGGCCTCAGCTTTTGAATTATCATTACTATTTTGTTTGAACTTTTGTGCTGGAATTCCAAGTATAATTATGTGCTGTACATATATATGTCGGCTCCACATTTTAGTTCTGCCAATCAATTCAAAGGGAAATTTTCCACAAGTTGCAGCTGGAAGCACCAAAGTTGCAATCTCTCTTTGCTCTTGAACAAGCTTTTCTTCACTTGTATGAATATCTCGGGACTGCCTTTTTTAGCAAGATGGATATATATATATATATATATATATATAACACTTGAATATCAAGACTCAAGAGCATTTATTTCAACCAAAAATAAAGAAACCCAACGTTTTTACTACACTTGAAAGAAAAAAAACGTCAACTTAATGTGTTAGGAAGACTGTAAACTGAAGAAGCGTGTCGATTCCATCCGTGGTGTGCTCATTTGTGTTGTGAATGGTCTGAATTACCGCATACCCTTGAGCATTCTTGTATTTTCCAGTTCCACCAACTACAGCAATATGAGACTCAAGCGCAGCTGTGCGGTGCACCCCAAAGAAACTAATGGCATCATCCTCATCATCATGATCATCACCATAGTGAAACATGGCAGTAAATGCCATTGTATGGCTGCTACCATCCATCGAACTTGCTAGATAAAACCCCTGTGCTTTACCAATTATAGAAGAGCCTAATTCATGCCCTTCAGTTAATTCATCATCGATCACGGTAGTTGTTCCAAACAAGAGTTTTTGCAGGGTAGCTCCTTGTGGGAGCTGACCAGCAGTGACAAATGGGAGTCTTTTGCCATTTGTACTGATCAAATTGTTGTTACCATTGTTGTTAATTACAGTGTTGGCTGTTGCACCATTTAGGGCTGAAGGGAATGGAAGGTTGTTGTTGATGATGACGCCCTTGGTAGCAGTGATCAAAGGGACACCACCACGTTTTGGGAAGACGCCAGCATTGGGTTTCGAGAAAGGGATTCCGTTGACTTGGGGACTGGCAATGATCCCAGCCACAACCCTTACCGACGGGGCGGAGCCACCGAATATGTCATGCATAAAGAATGACAACGTGGTTGCAGCCAGGGGGCTGCTAGTGCTGGGGGTTGGAGGTGTGACGGCGGTACCAACTGTCGTTTCTGCGTTTGCTACAGGCGTAGGAATTAAATTGGTTGCTATGGTTTCAGGTGGCGGAACAGGTGGGAGAGTGCCATCGTCAGGAAGGACCCTTGCTCCACGCACGTATTTTATGGTGACGGCTAAGAGCAAGAGGTGCAATGTGCCCTTCATGCATAGCTCTTTGACCATTTTAGCTTTGTTGGGGCTGAAAGAAAGATTGAATTTGCTGGCTTTTAAATGTATAAGCCTGATGAATGAGTTAAAACCATGGTGGAGCAGGGAAAATTGCGTTTGGAGTGGTTCATACTTGATACTTTTCTGTTTTCTTCTGTCAGTCCTGAACTTTAGGCAAATGGAGTTGTTAAGTGTTCTAGAGTTGGTTTGGGTTTAAGAACTCTAAGCCTGCAAAGATAAGTTGACCTAGATAGCCTATTGGACTTGGACATACCGATTGTGACTCAAACCATAGTCCACTTTGGGTTAGAAGGGGCTTACTCGAAATAGCCCATTTCCATTCCATCTGAGTGGAAAACATCCAGCCATGAGACATCCAGGGGAAAAGAACGCCATGGTCAAGACAGGAAGCATCAAGCATGAAATCTTTCTTTAGGGTACAAGGAGGCATGAAAATCTTGGTTTTGGGTCAAAAGATAAAAGCCTTGCCATCGACTTGTCTACTTGAATGTACCCCGCGGAGACAAAGAACAAAACAATTCAAAAGAAGGAATTGTACGACCACTCCCTTTGTTGCTTGGAAAAGAAAGAAGCAATCCTCATAATATTTGCTCCTCTTACCAATGATGATTCAAAATTTATTCCCGAAACCCCAAAATTAGCCTGCACAATGCATAATGAATGATTGATTGTCCCTGTATGAAATGTCTTTACACAGTGAGTTAGCCAAGTCCTAACCACTTAAATTGTCTTGCTCTTGGAAATTTTGTGACAAAGATGATCTAGTCTTGGGGAAATTAACTAAAACTTTTAAAACCCATAAGACATGAACTACAGCTTCATGTCTGAAAAAGGAGAGAAAACAAACAAAGATATTTTGGATGGTACAAGGATTTGATTTTGACATTTTACAATACTTTGGTCCCTCTTCCTCTTGGCCTATCGTTTTCATCTTTCTTTCTTTTTTTCTGCCATATTGGGCTTGTATATTGGAATTCAAGTTGCTTTTCTCCTCCTACTTTCTTATTATTGAATTAATTATAGAAAATTCAAAGGTTAATTAAAGATAAAAAGGTGGTGAAAATTAAGCCCAACTTGCCATTGCTACACTCTCAAAGACAAGCAATTAATATAGAAAAAAGGTTTATATAATGGAAGGTATGATATTGGTAACATAAGAGTAAAATACTTGAGAAAGCAATTTAACCAATTTTGCACAAGTTAAATATGGTGCCATATCAAAAGCAAATATTTTAAGAGGTGATTTAATGAACACTAAAGAGTTGGGTTTGGTAAAATCCATTTGGTTAAAAACAGTTTCCTACATCAACATTCTTGTTTCTCTTCTTTGCTTTATTTATCATATCAACTTTTACTCCATATCTAGATTTGAAGCAAAAGCAATAGATCTTAACGTACAAAGTGTTAAGAGTGAAAGATACGATTATCTTTGAAAGAAATTCTCAATCATTATTTGATTTTTTTTATAATTTTGTATTGAGTGAATAGTAAAATTTTTTATATTAAGATTTAAAAATTAAGGTTTTTGATTGATAATATAAAATTATATAAATAATGTAAATTAAATTATAAAAATAATATCGAACGAGGACATAAAATTTTTATTCGTTCATCTCGTTATATGTTATTCTCTGTCATACATTATATAATCATTACCAAAAATATAAAAAATGATCAAATTCCCCCTTGTTTGTTGCTGCAAGTCTTTGACATTTTACCTAGCTTATGATTCTGATATTGTACATATCATGCATTCATGTCCAAAGTAAATCCAAGTGAAAGAAAATTTATCTCCTTGCCCAATAGCCATAGGAAACCATAGGTGGTGCGCCAACCCAGTTACAAAATTTCTCCAGGAAAATCTTATAATAATCCCTAGACAGTGGCCCCCTTTTAACTTTGTTCTAGTATTTTCTTTATCCAGCCGTCCAAGAATAGTCAAAAATACTAAAGTTATCAAAACATTAAAGACCAAAGCAAAGAAAAGAATAGTGGAAAATATCTAATATATATTCAAATCATCAATGTGGTGAGAAATTTGGGATTTTTCTCACTTCCACACAAACCAAATGAAATTTCTCAAGACCCTTTTGTCCCATAAGTTGGTTAAGGGACCATAAAGTTTCAAAAGCAAAAAATACAAGAAGAAGAAAAAGCAGCTAGACATAGAGGTAGCCCCACTCAAATTGACATGGACATGCAACCAAAAGTGTCCCTTGGAGTCATCATTTGGTTTATTGTGGGGGAAGGCACGTACAATATTTGCCCACACTACGAAAATGATGTGCCACCCAAGGATTGATTGGAGGCAAATGCTTGGTGTTTTGTTTCTTATTTGATGTTCTATAGTTGTAGCTAGGAACCATATCAGACCAAAGAATGTTTCGGTTTTGGCTTTGTTTTCTACGTACTTTTCTTTCTATGGATGGTTAGGTTGATTCCGAAAGAACTTCCGAGAGAAATTAATAATTAAGCTTTAAAGTGTGTGGCTAATGGTTTGATAGATTTAGAAACTGGAATCTCTGTGGTAAAGACAAGGTCAAATTTGAAGCTATCATTGGTTTTTAATTACTGAATTATTTTCCAATTTCAGGGTTTTCCATGAAGGCGTTTGATCAAGACAAATTAATGAGCCTTCAGGAGTACACACCTAGTCTGACCAAGAAAAGAGAGATGCTGATACTTCATAATTGAATTTGATATGGAAAAGCAAAGGGCAGTGTGGATGTTTAATGTGATATTAGTTATTGCAAGCCCATACTTTGACCATCCGAACAATACACAACCAACCACTTGATTCTTGGCTCATCCAGAAGACCGAAGAAGAAGAAGAGGAAAGCGATTATTGCTAGAAAAGAAAAAGTGAACAATAATTTTGTCCCAGGCTAAAAATTCTTGTTCTGTCACTGACTGCAGGCAATTCCACTACTTGTCTCCCTAAATTGGTATCATGCTCTCTCTACTGTACTTATCGTTAGTGCATCAGACCACGCGAGGGCCTCATGCTTGGGGACCAATTATGTTGTTTGATGAGATTGCTGTAACATACAGGTCTGTTACTAGCCTAATCCTGATGCAAGCTGTATAGAGATTTTTGGAAACTTTTTCTCATTTTATCACCCTTTCTGTTTCCATGGTGATGGAAAATTATTGAAAATTTCACATGGTAAGAACTGGTGTTGCACCCAAATGCTACAAGCCCCCCCACCAGCTGGGGACTGGGGGTAACATCTGGGACAGAAACAGGAAAGAGATGCCCCAGAGCTGCCAGCGAAAGCCAAGGTTTTTATATTCAGAGAAAAGGAATATTTGAAATGATTCCGTTTGCTTGCTCCAAAGGAACGATCAAGATGAGAACTGAGAAAGCACCAAACTTCCTCTTTAACTGGCCCCTAAAAACTTATGGCAACAATCCCCAAAAAAGCTTACATTAATTAAAATTTACATTACATAAACTACTGCTATGTCAATGTTCACACTCTACTGCTACATTTGGAAAAGAAAGAACAAAACCCTTTTTTTTTTTTTGGGTAATCAGTGACTCATTTTCACCACTGGGGAAGATGGAGAGGATGATGATGTTGTAGATGGCCAGAGCTGTGCATTCTTCACCCTGGACACGCTTGCTAGCACGCTTGAGGGAGTTACATCCCCAATTACTGTCACTTTCTTTGTGGCCAAATCTATGCTGAATGATGTCACACCTGCACAAAATGTACAAAAAACCATGGCTTAAAATATGGTACTGCAACTTCTTTACCATCAAAACCACTAACTAATTAGGGTTTTATGGATAATAACTAACAGATGTAGCCATTTTGGCTTGCAAAAGGGTTTCGAGATAATATTTGACAATTTACTTACAATCTGTTGAACGTTTGAAACTCACCTTCCATTTTGGAGATATGCTTTCTTACTTTTCCTTCACATCCTTTGCAATGGATTGACACCCTTAAAACCACCACCTGCTATTCCAAATACAATAAGAATTTGTTTGTTAGTGATTTAACATCATCAAGTTTAAGTCCTTCTGCCTTTTTTCCCCTTCTCGGAACCAAAACAGGAGATAAAGGAGAACAAAGACAAGACATATTGGTTGGGAACCTTAACGTCATAGCTGTTTCGTATGATCTAAGAAAAGAAGAGAGCTTAAAGACGAACCTGGTCGCTAGACGACCGAGCCGATGAAGAAGACTTCAAAGCGGGAGAATCGTTGGAGCTTACATGCTTAGGCTTTGCAGGCTGAGCAGGAACCAATGCTGAGACACGATCAGATTCTGATAACCAATCAATAAAGGGTCTATCACTTAGTAGATACCTAGAGGAACCAGGAGGACTATTTAGATCATGAGTATCAGCAGAGCTTTTTCGACGTACATCACTTGGTTTGACAGAGCTCTTTCTATTCTTTTCATGGTAAGGCCTAGGGATTACAGGCAACTGTGATGAACAAGGTGCGTAGGGCTTAGAATTTTGACGGTCGATAGGCCTATGGCCACGGCGGACCATGGAACGATGGTCCACGCTAGAGCAGATGGCTGTGGAAGCTGGAGAAGAACAGAAAAAATCCATTCTTTTCATGTTTGGAGAAGAGAGGGAATGACTTTGAGAAAAGTCTTGCTTGAGTGAATATGCTACAGTTTTTGGGGAAGAAAAACTGAAATAGAGTTAGGCAAATAAGGGTCTTCCTAATAAGGCCAACTAATCTGCTTTTAAAGTAGGTGGATGAGGGAGGGAGAGAGGGGATTAAAGAAATTAAAAAGAGGCAGCTAGGTCCCACTTGAAGTGTTGATTAATCATACCTTGGAAAAATATGTGATTAAATTCAGGACCTTCAAAAGTTGTGATTAACTTTAGATTGTTTTAGTTTCTAAATTTTCTATAAGGTGGGGTAAAAGAGTTGGGTTCAACTTTGTATGATATGATTACAACCACTACTAGTATCATGGGGGCTACAGATTTTGACACTTAGGTAGCTGATCTTATTATTAACACATCATTGGGTTAATTGACAGCGTGCATTCATAGGTAGTGTTGCATTGCATCTTTCTATTTGCATAGCTAGCTGTTCTTGAATCCATTCCCCTGTCATGAACTAGAACTGATAATCTGATATATGGCTTTCCTGCCTATATAATTATGGGAAAACCATAACTTTTAGGTTAAAAGAGAGATTGATATTAAAAGGGTTGGATAAAATCATAAGCTTGTTGTTTGGTTTTTTTCATGATTTCATCCCCAATCTGCAGCCTTTGATCAGAACTCCTTCCTTCTGCTTATAGACTGATCTTTCTAAGCTCCATTTGTTTTGCCTTTCCTCAATCATGGAGGTAATTTCACCCCTGAATCAAATATAAGCAATTTTGTTTTGTATGATTCTTCTCTTATATGGCACATGAACTTGTATACATGCTTGAATATTGACTAATTAAGATGTGATTGGCACCGGCAGAGCGGCATGCTGCTTCATATAGTCTATAATTAATCTAAGTTTATTTCATATATTAATCCATGTTTTATTCCAGACACATAGCTAATTAGCTAATAAAGGACCTACTTCTTTTGTTCTCATTTCCATTGTCGTCATCTTGTGACCTGCAAATTTGTGGAAAGCATAGACATCATGTTAATCAGTTAAAGTATTCATCAAAACCCTTTCAGGAACTTTCATTGAACTTTTTGTCCATGAACTATAGAACATTAGGTAATGTTCTAGGGAACCAGAGTTCGAGAGTATGTTTTCTTGTGGAACAAATTGAATCTGGCTAGTGCCTGAATTCTGGGAATTACAATTAAGACCAGACAAAACAACGGTCAGAAAAACCAGTAATTTATGTGAAAATCTTCATGCGTTAGGCAAGATTTTCCATGCATAAGAACCAGAGTTGGAGCACATGCAGTTCTCACGTAACCTGTAATAAATACAACAAAATATTCATTTTCTTATTCATAAGAATCCATATTGCTGCTGGAAATGTGATCAGTTCTAAGCAGTGTTGACACCCTGACCTCTTCTAGAAAAATTCAAGACATTTTGAGTTATAATTCATCTCAAACTAAACTGGCATGTAAGAGTAAGAGATGTTCGAGTTGTCCAAAAACATGTGATACTCATTTGACCTTGGATCCGGAGTTCATCTAAGCTTACATATACTCTTGCATTTGAATGTAGATAGCATTAAATTAAAGCTGTGAACTGCTCACGACTACTGTTAAGCAGTGTCAATATATCGTTAAATTAGATTGTTGTAGTGATTATGCCTGGGAAATGGCTGAGGTGTTTCCCATCAGAAGGCTGCTGCCCTCGTGGGTCCAGTCCCTTTTGCAGAACACTTGAGTGCGGATTGAAGATGTTGAAAATCCCAAGTACCATCATCGATTGCAAACTGATTAGCATTAGAGTTGGCCACTTTTGTCTTGACCCTCTCTCCTACTCTGCTGCCTCTGCATTCTAGGAAGCATGAAGTAACTAACTATCCTTTTAACTGCCGTTGGTTTTTGATGGAAAAGGTGCTTTTTTTTTTCACCGGAAAGATCAACCCCACAATTTACAGCTTCTTTGATTATTAAAAGCTTTTGCTGCTGATTGCTGAGTACATTTAAGTGGGGACTGATCTCGACCAAAAATAGTTTTATTGATCGATGGAAATGCTCCCCAAATAACATCAACTTAGTGTCTATTGTTACCATATCATTTTGGGGTTTTCACAATGTTTCTTTTGCAAGCAATGGCACTTAAACCCTGAACTATCCATCAAACATGGAATCTGGTTCAGCTGAAATGTTGCTCACCGAACTTTCCATATGAAAATCAAACATGAAAATTGCAGAAAAAGTGTGCATATAGATATACATAAATAATCTGTATATCCATTTTATACTAACTTTTAACCCAGTCATGATTCTTCTCTCTGTCTCTCTCTTCAATTATTTCTTATGTGATCAGCTACGTCCTTTAAGCTCCTTGTCCATTGCAATGCTGTGGGTCTCCCCTAATTCAAACCATTTGTTTTATAATCACGCGTTTAAAGATGTGGGGGTTTTGATCAGTGGACAGATTAAAGGGTAGTTAATTTTTCTTCTTTTCCTCAGCTCTCTTTTTTGCTTTCTGCTCTTTCCTCAGTTTTTAAGTTTCTTCTTTTCTTTCCCGTACCATATGTATACGAAACAAAAGCAGAGACCTGGCTACATGTTTCCAAGCAGTTGCCTCGAACTCACAGTCCAGCAAACATTTCAGGTATATAATCTTCTTTTTCTATTCCAAAGCAGTTCTTTTGTTTATCATTATGTTAAAGCCTTGCAAGAATTATATATCAATACTGAAAAGAACCTCCAACCCCACATGCATTTACTTGTTTTATAATTTAATTATATGATCCAACCAGTATTTGCTTTAGAAAGCAGATAAACTATTTTAGAAGTTATAGTTTAAAAGTATTTGCACCATCAAACGAACTATACTAACACTGCTTGTTGAATGCAAGGCACACCTGATTGGTAGGAAATGGAACCAAACAAAGTGGGCTCATGTACTCTTGCTCAATAAGTTAAATCCTTTTCTGCAATGTTAAAATATCTGTGTAGGTTACAAACCAGCAATTCCTTTCTCCCCATTTATAGCAAGAAATAGGTTGTATCAATCACCATCATGGTTGGAAAAGCATCTCAAACATGTCATCCTGGAAAATCTATATAAAAATGTTTGAAGTCAAATCACAGCAGAATCCGCAAGGTTGATTTGCAGATCAGGTTGAGCTCTTTTGCTTTCCTAAAGGTCAGGGCAGGTGACCCACGTGTCCCCAGGGTATCATCTGAACTAAAAGCTGAGCAATCCATCGCAACAAGGAAAGCACAAAGCTGACCATCAATTGTTTTTGTTACAAGGCAAAGTTGAACAAGGAGACGTTCGCTTGTCTTTTTGGTGCAAAGAAGGACCTACAGGATCCTATCATCATAGTTTTTGTCTTCGAAGGCCCAAAACCAATTAGAGTGAACAAAGTCATGCACTTGCTATCAAAGTTTGATTCTTTTTTTCACAGGTTTGGATTTTTAAACCCATGAACGGGATTGGGTTCCCATGAACCAAAACACTCCTCAAAGCCGTGGAAGACCTAGGCCCAAGAGAAGTGAAAGTCCAATACCTTGACACGTGCACTTCATACGTGTGATGAAAATTAGGGTTTTGGACAAAGTGATATTAAAACCGCAGAGGCTTCCACTTCGCTCCCTCCAGACCTTCTTCGCTTCACAGAGAGAAAAACAGAGGCAGGCAGCCATGGGTAATGGCAATAATAATCAAAAACCCATTTTTCATTTACTTTTGAATTTTTTTTGTATCTATTTGTTAATGTCTTTCTTTTTTTTTTCTTTATTTTTGCATGTTTACAGCAAGGATCAAGGTACACGAGTTAAGGAACAAATCAAAGACAGAGCTGTTGAGCCAGCTTAAGGACTTAAAGGCTGAGCTTTCTCTCCTTCGTGTAGCCAAGGTCACTGGTGGTGCCCCCAACAAGCTCTCCAAGATGTAACTCAATTACCTCTTCATTTCTTCTTTTCCTTACTCGTTTTCAATTTGTCTTCTCTTTTTTAACTATGGGTTTTCTTTTTCCGGTGTTGGGGTTTTAGTAAGGTTGTGAGGCTATCGATTGCACAAGTGTTGACGGTGATATCCCAGAAGCAGAAGGCCGCATTGAGGAAGCCTATAAGAACAAGAAGTTTTTGCCTCTTGATCTCCGTCCCAAAAAGACCAGAGCTATCGCCGCCGCCTTACCAAGCACCAGGTTAGCTTTGCATATTTTTCATTATGCTTTACTTTTGGTGTAGCAAGTGGCAGCTTTGTTATTTGATTTCATTGGCATTTTATGATGTAACTACGTTTATTTGTGTGGAACTGAAATTTACTAATTTGTGTTGTTACGAACATTTCTAGATGCTTTTAATTTACCTTTATTTTTTTTAACTTAAGATGTCTTAGTATTTGCAATTCGGAATTTCTTAATCTTTTATGAATGATGTAGTATATGTACAAAGTGAAATAATCTTGGTTTGCACTATGTTAATGATCAAATTAAAAGCTTTCAGTTTCAGAGCTGTTGCCAAAGCTGTTAATATAACTTGCTTCCCTTGAGGCCTGATCAAATGTGCTGCTACCTTTTCCAGTCTTAACTTACTTCAAGTACTTTTATTTATGCATCATCAGTGCATTGCTGAACTTAATTTGTCTAACTTTGGCTATTCTAAAGGCTCAAAGTCTTGTAAGCACCGTCTAACTTTATCTCATTGGTTAATGTTTGGTCTTAACACATGTTTTCTTTTCTACAGAGTACAGTTGAACTTACCTATGATAAAAACACCCCTTTATTAAAGAGTTCTTAGCATAGTTGTGTTTTTGTTTAGGACATGTTCAGCAATAAAAGCACAATTCTAAAGCTGCTTTGTAATATCTTCCTCCATTTCCATTCAAAAATTGGTGTTTGTCTCTGATAGTTGTTCATATTTGAAGAAAATTGGTGATTTCCGTTCTTAGATTGAAATAAATTCTCTTGTACTAGCTGTGTATATTCTACTAAACAATTAACCCCTTTTTACTACCTTGATCAAGCTGATGAAACTCCAAATGTGTCTATTGGCTTCTTTTGTGCCGCACCTCAAATTTTTTTTTTAATTTGGGTG